GCTTTGCTCGAACGCCTCTTTCTCACCCATTTTGCTGTTCTCGCCTCTGCGAGTGGCAAAGGAAAGAAGGGCGAAGAAAGCGATACGCACGCTCAATTCGTGTGAGGACATATTGCAAACATATGCACTCGCAAACTCATGTGTACTTTTGGGGCCTCTCGTAGTGAGTGCTCTAAGGCTCCGAATTGAGGGTACATACACCTCACCACTCCTTCGTTACATGAGCGGGGCGACCGGCCTATTTGTGCATTCGCTGTGCCGCCTTGCGTCGGCGTTTTGAATACCCCGCTTTTTGTGACAAAAAAGAAAAAGATACGGAAATGTATCTTACCGGACTGACCATTTCTGTCGTTATTACCACAATGGTTTGTTTTTTTTTTTTATTTTATTTTTTTTTTACGCTAATGCTTTGGAAATGCAAGGAAATGCAAGGAAATGCGGAACAGCGTATACTGACTCTCCTTCAGGTCTGATACCCCGAGGAAAGCGCAACGACGCTTCGGCAACGGCTTGAAGCTGACTACCGCTGAATGGTGCGCGCGTTGAGGCAGCATGAGCAAATGTACAGCGAATGTGCCTCGTCTGCACCGCTAGTGTATGCTGCACATTTGTGAGCAAAGACTCCCCCCCGCGGGAGCAGCTCCACCGATTAGGCACGATCGCGTAAAAATTGCTCACAAGTCCCCTTCCATTACTACCCAAATCTTCACTCACCGCACTAGCGCAATCGTCCAGTAGTACCACGCGCGCTGGATCGTCCTAACCCCCACAATATACACAAAATATACCACTTGAGCGAAAATGCATTTGGCTAAGCCAGCCAGAGTGTTCGTAAGGACAGACATGGGTCATTTCCAGAGGAAGTTCATCTTTAACGCGAGCACCATTTCGAAGTGTAGGCAAATCCAGAAGAACCCATTTTCATGTTTTTCCCAAAAAGGGCAAAGAAGAAACTACCTTCATTTTGCTCGTACATTACCGGAAGATTACGAGCTGCCTTTAGATACCTTTCCAGACAATATCAACGAAGTGTTAAAGAAGGATAAAAAGACACTTGACTTCATTCAGAGCTACTGGTACTGGAAGATTCGGAGTGAGAGCAATTTGCTAAACTACGAAAAGTTGGTGAAGAAGTCGTATAAGCAGTTGGCCGTGGACATGGGCATGCAGGTCAGTGTACTGGGTTGTCAAAGGGGACAGAGATGAAGACGGACATAGTGTGGAGAGACACACCTGTGCGTAATGCCGCCTCTCTCCCCACCCTCGTGTAGCGCTTCTCATGTCGGTGTAGGGGTCCCTCCCCCCGCACCGGAAAAGAACATCGCCGCAAACAAACATCGCTGCAAAAAGCCGCGGCCAAACGTCGCTGCCAAACGCTTCTTCCAAACGCCGTGTCCCTTTCCCCACTTCGTAGATTGCCAACCCCGATAATGAGCACATGCTGGCCCTCCTGGAATTTTACGAATACCTGAAGTCGTCGCCATTCGTGGGACCCTTCGGCACCATTGAAAACCCCGTTATTGTGCCCAGTGTGCACACAGAGCGAGTCGTCTGCTGCACAGGGGGGACAGGGGAAAACGAGCACGTCCCCCTTTTCTTTCGATGTAGGGAAGGATTCTTATATCGCTGCGGAGAGTGTGATCAAATTTTTATGCACGTGCGTGTGTTGTACTCACTGGAGGATGGGAATGACCCCTTCCCCAATGACCCCGATGTGGATGATGTATTTGATTTAAATTTAATTGAAGAAAACATGAGTCTGTACAACGACGACCAGTACGTCCGGTGGCCCACGGGGAATGTGACCTACCGGCAGATGTTTCTCCAGGGCAAGTGGGGAAATGAGAAACCGAACAACGTTTCGTACATAAGTTCAGAGAAGTGAGACGCGGACCTCACTGATCATTTTCTTATGGACGCTAATGGTTACGCCACATCGTGGGCCTAGCTGGGTGTGTCCATGTGTCAGCTATTTTTTTTTTTTTTTTTTTTCAATTTCTTGTTCCATTTCGCCTGAACAGGCAATACATTATTAGCGACGTTTTTGGTACAAAAAAAAACAAAAAAAAAATGCTACAACATTTTGGCTACCTGGACGTAGCTGCCTATACCACATTGCAACCTTCGCAACAATTTGTCCTAATCGTGCTACGATGAATGCTAATTGGCATCTTAATTTCGCCATTTCGTGTTTTAAAAATGTCGAATCTGTTGGGGTGAAGTTTAACTGCTGACTTAGCGCAAAATTAAGATTGTAAGAGAATCGGTATGCAGGGAACATGGTCATATAAAAAAAATGGGGGTGTAATTCAGAGGGTAGATGAAATTAAAAATCGCGCAACGGGGAAATGGTTCGCTGCGTGGCTGAACGGAGGCACAGTTTTGCCGTTGCAAGAAGGAAGTGCGACATTTCTCAAAATTGGGGGCATCCGCACGAAGCGACCCGTGGAAGTGGAAGTGGAAGTGGAAGCGGCCATCTGGTAGGTGCCTCCGGCATGTTCACAGGTAGGCGAAGCGGAATGGCTGCACATTCGATGGTGGCACTATCGCGCGGACCTGCTCTCCGATGGGCACACTCACAAATGGTGACCCACTCGTATTCATCCATTTACCCGTGTAGTACTTTCACCTTTCTTTCACGTGATAACCGGTCCCTACTACAAACCCATTTCAACTTCAAGGGGGTAGGTGTTCCATCAGGAAGGAATCAATCGTACAGAGGAGGGGAAAAAAAACAAGAAAAGAAACAGATCAACTGCACATGAAATCAGTTAATTCAATTGAAGTTAATCGAATTTAATTACAAATGACAAATCACCTAGGTGGAGGTTACACCAGGGGTCCCCCTCTCAGTGAAAATAGTCACATATGTATCACCTCACATATAAAAAAAAAGAAAAAAAAGGGATGAGTCACCTCACGCACACGTGTCACATAACGTTGTGCCTGTTCGGGTGAACACGCATATATGTTGATGGGTGGGTGTCCAATAAATGTGGGGAGAGGGGAAGCAAGACGGTCGAGAGAAAGCCACTTCGTCTTGCATTTGAAAAATGTGGAAGCCAAGTGATGGACACCACGCGGGTGCCAATCGGTTGAAGTGTGTGTGTTTGTGGGGGAGGGGGGGCGTCACATATAGAGAGAGAGCAGATTGTTGAGAGTCACTCGTTCGTAATGCCGCGACGTTGCTGCGATCCTGTGTGTGGCCTCTTTCCTTCCCGAAGTGCCTCTTTCCAGAAGTGCCTCTTCTGGAACAACTCAACTCCTAATTTTGATGAACCTGTTTTTCTCCTTGACGGGCTCGCCAACCCCGCCAAGCCTCTGTCCCACGGAGACCGGCTGGTTGGGCTTGACATTCCAAGAGAAGTCCTTCTTATTTTCAAAGATGACAACAATGGATGAGCCCATTTTGAATTCCCCAATTTCGTCACCAACTTCGAGATTTTTATATGAGTCGAAAATCTTCGTGTTGATATCTCCACCCATGTAGCTTAACTGAGTTCTCAAACTATTCGTCACCAGTTCTTCATCATTAATGATTTTTATATTGCCAACATTGTAGGCACTAATAGCTCCATAGTAGACATTCCCACCTTTCCATTCTCCAGAGAGGATAACCCTCTCGTTAATACTAAAGAGATTATTAATGATTTTAAACATACCTTGAAAAACTGGAAACAACTCTCCAGATATGTGTCTTCTAATTTTGTATTTGAAATTAAAAGGGGCATGGAAATGGTGGTACTTTTTTGGACTTAAATAAAAAATGGCATAAAAAAATTTGGTACTTTCGTCGTTGTACTTTTTCTGGAAATTGGATCCTAAAAAACTGCTCACCTTAAATTTGACTCCTTTAATGTTTTCAAGATAATCGGATGTCAACTCTCCGTAATCCATCAGTACACTGTCACATGGACTGACTATGGAGTAATCACTAACATCTCCGATGGGTCTTGTTTCCTCTCTTATGTAACGAGAAAAGAACTCTCCAATGGATTTATATGACTCAATTGGGTATTTTATTTCTTCCTTGTTGATATGCATGTATTTAATTAAAAAGTCAAAGATATACAATCTGTATGTGTTTGGTATTTCTATTTTTAATATCTGACCTGTGATGCGACTCCTTGTTCGTCCGAAGAGCAGTCGTGCCCAAAAGAGCTTGTTGCTTTGTGCCGCATTTTCACTGTTGTCGTGTAGGATCAGCACTTCGTGGTACTTGTATTGGAACATCAGGAGGAAGGACAGGATGGTCACCCCCGTGATCACGTACTTGTTCTTGTAGAAGCGGAAGATGTTGTCTCCCTCATTCTTCTTCATCGTTCTGCGGGGAGCAAGCACAGGGGGGGAGCGCCAGATTAGCAGTAACGTTCCTGGCGCTACTGGCGTTCTTGGCGGCTCTGGCGCTCGTTACGCTCGTTACGTTCGTTACGTTCGTTACGTTGGTGCCCCTCAGCACACCTCGGCACAAGTTCGACTAAACGCGTAAATGTCCCCGCAGTGTAAAGTAACGAACTGGAGCTGACTTCTCGCGCGCTTCCTAGTGATGTCTAATTTTTTTTTTTTTTCTTACCTTTCTTGTGCGGGCTAAAAAGAAAAAAAAAGAATATCCCTCCTTCACTTTTTGCAAAACATTTCCGCACCTCCTAAATTAGCGTAATTTCTGGGTGACTCAAAAGTCTACGCGTGCCACTTTTTTTTTTTTTATTTTCTTTTCCCTCTTTCTCTCATCCGCCGAGGGATGTAACTACGGATAGACGTATGCAACTCAGGTACGCACGTGTGCACGGGACAAATAACGAATGCGACTCCTGCTCGTCGTGGCAATTTTTCCCTTCGCACGGGCGCACAAAAGTTGATCATTCGATTGGGGATGGCAGCGATGGTGGCCGTGGCGGTAGCCGCTCGTAGGTACGTACGGGATTGCCAACTTTGGTTGCGCTAGCTGGCGATACACTATAACGCAGCGCAACCCGGTCGGAGTTCCTCACGCGGGGGCTGCACACCTGGTGATGTGGTTCAACAGAATTTCACCTCTCTCCCTTTCGAACTCCTTCCCACGTTGAGGGGTGGACTAAAAACAGGGACTACATGTGCATACCGTTGGTTACACTACTCTCTAATTACCTTTGTCCTTTCTTCTTTGGGGGAAAAAAAAAAAAAAGATTACTCCCTCTTGAGGAAGCAGTTAGCAGAATTATTCGTGAGGCACCTACGCATGCAAATGTACCGTTGCAGGGGGGGGTGGAAACCTGCGCGGTTGCTTTTTGCTAATGACGCAGGGGAGGGGTGAATTCGAAACGGAGGCGTCACGCAGGAAAGTATGCACTATAATGGGTTAAAAAAGGGCGATGGTAAAAATATGTTCCAAAATTGGATCATTCCGCTCATGGTCCCAGGGGGAAGGTTTTCCTCTTCAAGAAAACATCATCGCACTGAGCTCGCTACGGTGCAGATGGGTATACTGTGCGAATAGATATGCTGTAAAGACGGCTATACTGTGCTGTCACGTTCCATGTGTAACGCGGTGTGCGACCCAAGTGCCTTCAGACGCAGGGAGAGGTCCCTACCCAATTTACGCGCGCGCATTTGTAGGAGGAGACATAGACTCATCAATGGTTGGAAGCTCGGGGTGGGAAAAAAAAAGGCAAAAAAAGAAGGAGAAAATAAAACTGCGCATAAAACAGGGGTAATGACAGAAATGGGCAAAAATTGCACAAAGCTTGGCGCAACTTCTACAGCAGAGAGGAACAGGGGCCGGGCGCACATATACAAATGCCCCTATACATGGCGATCATCACACGGTCACCGGGAGACACCTCCAAAGCGAGAATTAATAACAGGGCAGTTAAAAAAAGACGAAACAAAGGTGAAGAAAAAAAAAAAAAAAAGGTAGGAACATTTTAGTATACTTAATAAAATAAAATGCAGCGTTACCAATTTGGGAATGATAAAAAGGGGTCCATCAGGATGGAAACGCTTTTTCGTTGATTCTGTGAAAATAAATGCACATTCAAAAGTTTTCTCTTTGGAAAGGAGGGGAAAAAATAAGCAAGCTGGAGGATGATCACAAAGGGGAAAAAATAAGCAAGCAGGAGGATAATCAAAAAGGAGAAAAAAAAAAAAAACAAATCCACGTGAGACACCTACAGTAGGAAAAGTTGCTCTGAGAATCTCTGCAGATTGTGCATACGTAGAGGATGGTCCGCAAGGTACACCTTCCGTGTATATGATTTAAATTGCGGGGCATTGTGGGGCAGGCACTCCTTCTGCGCTATGGTCGACCCGGTGGAAGTGGAGGAAAAGATGCCCACAGGGCTGAAGAGTAGAGAAGCCACACCAGTCGCGGTCGGCACATCACTTTTTCCCGCAACTGAAGCGAACCACGCGGGGGTTCCAATCGCCGCTAACCCTCGCAGCGAAAGGGCGAAGAGAATCTCAACATGGTGCATGTATCACTGGTTTGGTGTCCCCTTGGAAAGCCGACTTTTGTCATTAGGAGGGCAAATGGCATACACGGTCGAGCCCTTATAAAGCAGTCCCTCTGGCGTGCAAGTCGTACGTGCGTGCACGCATTTCATCCCTGTGCATACTGGCGCGGCGTGCAATTCTGCACAAAGCTGAGCAAAAGTCGCAGGGGGAAATTTAAAGGGCGAATCCGGCCAGACGAAAAAATAGGTCCACATTCCGCGCGGGTAATAAAAGAAAAGTACCATGCCGCTAATCGATGCTACGAGTCACTCATGCCAGTCAGTCATGCCAATCGATACTTATCGACCGGTTGGTCTTTCCCCCCCGTGAGGTAAAATTTCCAAGAGTCCCATCCCAAAGGTCGCCATACCGCGCAGGAAAAAAAAAAAAAAGAAATGCCCCCAAAGAAGGTGTACATGTAAAAAGGCAAAACCAAAAAAAAAGTATGCTTCTTCCTAATCGGCTATCGACAAAGGTTACCACTTGACCAAACGGAACTGCTATTTATGTTCATCGCCAGATGTAACGGGCATCCCATTGTGCGTATGTTTTCTTGCCCTTAAAATGAAGCATTGCTCATACATGTAAAAAAAAAAAAAAGAAAAAAAAAAGGAAAAAAAAAGGTTAAGAGTTAACGATTAACAGATAGCGAAGCATATAACAAACACAGGTGACACAATGACGGCCCCACACTACCTAAACCCCAAACTGATGAAGAACTACGATGAGCTGACCTGCCACAATCCCCATTCCAGCGTAATTCTTCACTGGAGGATGCACACATCGCTGCAGACGTGGAGTGACTCCTTACGCCTGTGTTTGATGGCAAAGTGGCACTCACAAATGTTGTGTGTGAATTCACCTTCCCCTTGGTTAACTACCTATGACATGTATGCTTCCCTCTCTTCCTCTTCCCTCTGGCTTAACAGGACCCGCGATTTTTGCAGATGAATCAGTTTAACCACTGTGCCTATAGATACACCATGTTCTGCCGGTGTGCACGTGAACTAGGGGAGGATAACCCCCGCTGCAAGTGAGTTCCGCTCCGGACATGTCGCCAAAAAGTTGCAATTACGCATGTCAATGGGGCAAATCTTAAACGTATTTCATCAGTTTGGCTGGACGTCATTAGAGTATCGATTCAGAAGGATAAATGTTTCCCCTTCTATAGGGTTTCACCCTTTTGATGGGGTTTTCCCCTTTCGATGGGACTTCCCCCCTTTGCTGATTCTTCCCCTTTCTTTCCGTTTGGCCCTCTTCCCAGATTTCACTATTACCGAGCCCAAATTGCCTGCACAGCGGAGCAGCTGGAGGACTGGGATGAGCACAGACAGAAAGGTAGGAGTCGCCCCCTTGGGCAAAAGAGACCACTCTGGATGCGAAGCGCGTTGCATCCATTTGGTTTTTCGTTTTTTGTTTTTTTTTTTCCAAGCGTGGATGAGCCCAGGCAGGCCAACCATGTGTGTTTTCACCCCGTATTGTGCACAGAAGCATGCGTACAAAAGGGCATTCCTCAATCCGCATGTGTTAATATCCCTTCATGTGTGTATTTTTTTTCTCCTATTTACAGGAACATGCGTCATGGATGTGATGCCCGACCGGCTCACTGCTCACCTGAGGCAGTAATGCGCTGCGGAGTGGCGATATCGTCACGATGTTGCGACCAGGCCGCCACCATATCGCCGCGATGCTGTCGCTATGCCACCGATTCGGCGCTGCTGTCTTTGCAAAATGAATGAAGAATGAGGAAACTATTTTAATTGTTGACAAGGAGGGTGTTTTTTTTTTCCTGTTTATTCTTCTATGCAGAGTGGCGGAGCCTGCGGCTGTGTTACTCATTTGAGTCTTCTTTGGATGGCTCCCCGAGTGACCATCTCGAGTGGCCATTTTTGGTGCTCCTCCCCGCCTCCCCCTATTTTTTGGTACAAAAAAAAAACCGCTTCACGGCTGTCTTTAATCCAACACTCGAAGAAGCAGGCCCTCCAAAAAATGTACATTACAAATTTTGTACAAGTGGGGTGGCGAACCTTTCTCATTTCGGCGGAGCTGCTTTCAGGGTCAGGAAACCCCACACGATAAGGAGGTTACCCTAGAGTACTAAAAGGATGGTACCGCCGAGTACTAAAAAGACGGCACCCCGATGTAGAAGCAAAAATGCCGCTCCTTCCCCTTGGCAGCGGTTGTCGAACTAAAAATTTTCATTCACGAGGACGTTCGGCTTGCTAAAGAGTTCTATGGATTCCTTTATCTCTTTGATTTTTTTTCCCAGTTCAATTTTCTTGGAGTTGTCTTTGTTTGTCTTGTATTCCTGTGTTGCCTCGGTTAGTTGTGAGTGCAGCTCCTTTAGGACGTAGTTGCGTTCGTCGTGCTTTAGGACTCGATAGCCCTCGGGCACGTCCGTCGACTCATCGACAACGTCCTTTTTTTTCTTCAGCATGTAGGTGGGTAGCTTGCCAAAATTCTTGTGGAGGTTGTTCCGCTTGTCCTTTTCGGTACTCCGTAGTTCGCTCCCCCGTTTGGAGAGTTTCTCTATGATGCTGCTTTCATGTTTAGCAGGTGCGCTTACATGGTCGGTTTCTGCGGCTGCATCTTCGCGCTTCTCACCTTGGCATTTGCTGGACGCCTCCAGGTATTGCGGTTCCTCCTCCAGATTCTCTGTTTCCTCTTCTTCGTATTCTACTTCTTCTTCCCCCTCCTCGTACTCCACTTCTTCCTCCCCGTATTCTGCTTCCTCCCCCTCCTGGTACTCTACTTCTTCCTCTTCTTCTTCCTCGTATTCTACCTCTTCGTCGTATTCTGCTTCGTCACCCTCCTGATACTCCGCTTCTTCTCCGTCTTCCCCCGCATACTGAATCCCCTCGTCTTGACACTCCACGTGGTCCTCCTCCACCTGCCGTGCGGCAGATCCCTCCGTGATGACCCGATTGGACATCGTTGCCTTGCTTAGGCCCAGAGAGGACTCCCCAGTTTTCTGCAAATTTTTAGCCACCTTAGAAGCCACATTTTCAAACCTCTTCATTTTGAATGGCTTCTTATTCTTTGCTTCTTCCTTCTGTTCCAGGACCTTCTTCTGTAGAGACACCTTCTCCTGTATTTTCATAAAATTCTCCTTCATGTAATTTTTGTCTTCTTTGCTTCTAATGTGAGGAAATGCTTTATTGATGTCTTTCATTTTTTGTACGAAGCTGCTGGAAGACAGCTGGTTCTGTGCGTTTATCTTTCTCTGTGCATTGTTTTGTGTACTAATCGCTTTGGTAGCCTTGTATAACTCTCTTTCCTCCTTCAGTTTTTTCCTTTGCTTTTTCGCTAGCACCTTGCGGACGTTTTCGCTCAGGTTTTCGTTTTTGCTCTGCCGTGGGGTGGTTAGGCGGTGTAGTTAGGCGGTGTAGTCACGCGATGGTGTAATCAGGCGATGACCCCTGTTTAGACTTAACGTCGGTAGGATTATAGACGCACTGATTGGAGGTAGACTTGCCCCCCCGAGGGACATCTGCCTGCCCACTTCCCCATGCCGTTCATCTTCACAACAAATGGCAGACGAGAGTTACATCGCGCAATGGTACAATCGGAGGAGAGAAACAATGCACGTACTTACTTGGTTCATCATGGGGACTATTAAAATTTTTAAATGAGAAAAGCGGAAGCGATGTGGATGCGTTTGGGCCTCTTCAATCCATTTACTTTCCTCAAGAGGACAAGTAGACGTGCAGATTGCCTCGTGTTGTCTTCTAAGATTTGTTGGCAGGAATGGTGGAAAAAGAGAGGGAAAAAAGGTGTGGGGGGAAAGGAGCTTCTTTTTTCCTTTTTCCACCGTTGCGGAAAGAGATAGAGGATGCAAATGGGGAAGGGAGGTGTCCTTCTACATGTGCGTACACATGGCGCTGCTCCGAGGTGTCTGTCAAGCCATTGTTGCTGTTCCTCTTCTTCTCCCAACTGGACGGCGGTGCCTAGCGGGGTGAATGGCTTCACAGATGTGGCATCCTTTGTGCACACATAGTCCACCTCATTAATTTTGTGGCTTCCTTGGACGTGTGTTTTTGCCGGTCTTTGCATTTTTTCCTTCCTCCTTCGCGATTTTTTTTTTTTTTTTTTGGAGAAGGCTGTCTATGGGTATTGCATCGTTCCCGTGAAGGATTAGATAATGAAGAATACTCGAATGGCATCCTATTGCCGCTCAATTGTTTTTTTTTTTTTGACTTACCTTAACTTAAGTCCCCTCCAGAGCGGTCCTTGAAGAAATCACACAACTGTGTCACCTGGAAGGAAATAAACTACGTACGTCTGTCCTCTGCGACGCCGCTGCGGAAGTTGAAGAGACCCTTGGTCCCTTTGGGAGAAGCGACACAATTCAGAGTGCCCATAATTATATGTCTCCGCTGACACGGCGCGTGCACACTTGCAGGGATTCCTCGGGGGAACACCCACAGGTTGGACTCTTTTCCTGCATCGAGTTGAGCCGCCCCCAGCGTGACGCGTCATAGCGCTGCGTGACTGCAAACCCCTTCGACGAACCGATCAATCGACCAATCAACCAATAAACCAAGCAACCAGATGGCAGAAAAGGAATCCCTCTTTCACAACAGCATAACTGACCCGTACGTGGTGAACTACGTGTGGCTTTACGGAGACAACATGCGGGCTACGCCTAGCACCCTCCCGAAGATGTCCCCCCCCCATTGGGCCAACGTCAGAGATGGAAGTGAAGACACCTACAGTAGGGGCAGCAACGGGGGGTATTTCACGCAGGATATTTCGCCATCGTCACCAACATTGAAAATTTCGAAAATTGCCTCCCCTTCGCCCCGTCTGGAGAAAAGGGAAGATACCGTTTGTTAACAGAAAAAAATGAACAAGAGCAAAAAAAAAAAGAAAAAAAAAAGCTACACATTGTGGTGCAATTTTTAAAGTGCTGTCAGGGACGTGTCCCTCCTTCTGCTTCCACTTCCCAGGGACAATCCATGTATACGTCTTCCCGTCGTGGCCGTTTTTTTTTCTTCTTTTTCCTTTCCATAACGGGTACAACTTGGCGTAGCAGCCTCGGCAGTGTTGCCTCTTACGATTGAGAGAAGGAGAGTTAACCGGTTTGGAAGCGGATCGGTGTAGCGCCGATGCGATGGAACGAAGTGGGTAAAGTAGGAGACATTTCGCACAGCTTTACCACTTCGCCGCTTTACTTCTTCACCGCTTGACCACGTCACCGCTTGACCACTTCACCGCTTGACCACTTCACCGCTTGACCACTTCGCCGCTTTACTTCTTCACCGCTTGACCACTTCGCCGTCGCGCGGGCCGAAGCACACCATGGCCGGGACGTCGAACTTGCGGTAGCATCTTTCCCGGTCAAAGTTCTTTTCATCATAAAGTATGTACACGTAATCCTCTATCCTGTCTTGATATGTTTTCAAAAACAGATCAACACAGTTCTGTTTGTTGTCGAGCAGAGCACACCTCGGGGCATCATTCGGCTTTCCTCCTTCTACTCTCCTGCTAGACATGTTAAAATAAACTCGACCTCCCTTCATGTGCATTCCCAAACATTGCAACATGTATGTAGTCCTGTCCTCATTATGTATTGCTATGCACTGGTCTATGAAGCTGATATTTAAGGAGAAATAGTTTCGGTTGTTGGCTGAAAATAAAATGCTGTGGAGGTAATCCAGGCGAATTTGTTTTACGTTGGGGAAGAGACAGCATCGCTCGATAAAGGAAAGTTGTTTTATCCCCTCGAAGAAGCAGAAGTAGTTAGCTCTTTGAACTGGAAGGAAAAAAAAAAAGGTGGAAGCGGGAATGAGAGAGTGACAGAAACGGTTGTAGTGATGATTTGTTTTTTTTAGAGGCAGTGTGCACGCGGGTAAAAGAAAATGCAAATACAGCACCGACTTTGTGAGCCTCTCTTTCTTTTCGAGATGTTCGCGGTGACTGGCCTTACGTTCCCTCCCTAGGCCAAGCGACGCTGAATACCTCTCGAGGGTGTGACAGAAATGGGAGTAAGTGATGCCATAGTAAAGGCATGACTGCATGCCATCTGGGGAGCACAAGTTCAGGAGGACGATGCAAGAGAGGCAGAAGTCAAGGTGACTTAGAGTGACCTGCTTAAACGAAAGTTTGTTCTTCAGTATTTCGTTAATCATTTCGCGAGTAGATGAACCCATATCGGTTTCTCCACTTCCTGCATCTATGTTAGAAGCAGATCTATTCGTCTTCAGCGCGATGTCTATGTCATGAAGCACCTTATTCACAAAGTTGGAAATGTAGGAGGACACACTCGCGACGTTCTTCCGGTTGTCTTCGTGGTTATACAGGAACTGTTCCTTGTCCGGAGGGGGTGTACTTCGCGCGGCCCCTCTATCTGTCATCCGAGATGCACTTCCAGGCGCCGTTGAACCTCTTCGCCCCTCGGTGCGCCTCGAAGTGTTGCTCCCCTTGAACTTCACATAGGAATACAAAAAAAAGGAGACGATGTAAAATTTGAAGTGGGACAGGTAAATGAGGAAGAGGTCTTCCTGGGTGAGGCGAGTCGGTTCGGTGAGGGTACCCTCCGTTGCCTCCCCTTCTACTTCCACCACGGCCGGAGAGGTAGTCGCGTTGTCACGCCCCTCTCCTCTTGCCTTGTTAAACAGAATAAAATGAAAATTGTAGTCCAATCGAAGTCGCTTCAGTTTGTCGTTGAAGTAGAGGTAAGACAGCATGTATACGATAATGTTGTTATTAATTCGGGTGCATCTGTCAAAGATGTTTTCCTTTTTCACTCGGGCGTTCACTTCCTTGTCTATATTTCGAAGTTCTATTTCGTCCTCTGAGTAGAGGTGATAGAAGAGTTCATTGGCGTACCCGAAGCGGGGGTGGTAGTTATTCTTCGGTTGGTTCGTTCCAAAGGAAGAGTCTTCATCGGGGTGGTTGGAAGGAGTGTCGCTCGTCTGGCCCAGGGTAGAATGTCCCCCGTTTAAGGTACCCTCCGTAGCTGCTCCTCCGATTCCTGCGCCCCGGGTAGCTTCTCCCTTGTTAGGTTCTTCCCCATTATAGGCATCTGCCCCTGGGCCAAGGCCTCTGCTCCCCGACCTGAGTCTCCTGACCTCCTCCAAGAACGAGTCGTAGCTCCTGATCTCGGTATTAAAGAGAAAGGCGTTTCTCTCCTTCTCCCGATGCAGCAACGTCTGGTCCTCGTCATCAGCCAAGTGAGTGACGAAGTGCAAAAAAATAAAATACACATCCTTAAGGTAAAGGTTAAGCAAATAGTAGTTATTTAGGCCCAACGTTTCTATGCACCTCAGTGTATTAACGTCTTCTATGTTGATATTTCGCATGTAGCCCTGCAGGGGGGGGAAGCGTCATGGAATCGGCTGTGTGTCAGCGAAGTGTCTTTGAGTAGGTGGTGCACCAGTTTCCTGCCTCCTCGGTGGACCCCTTTTTTGCGTGCCTTCTGGGGCCTCTCACATGACAGATCAACTCGAGAACACGCATAGGTGGTTTCACTTGGAAGGGGGTTGCCACAAACTCTTTTGGGAAGTTCCCTCAATGGGGTACACATATCAAATCGGCGCCTCACCACATCGCTGCCTCATCACACCACCGCATATCAGCACGCTGACAAAGCTTCTCATCCTTACCTCAATCTTAATTTTATTTAACTCCAGGGCGGACGTTATTTTCGAGTCGTCCGAGGTGCAAAAGCGTCTGGAGTATTTCACCATCTCGTTTACGTCTTGGTGAAATTTCCGCTTCGTTCTTTTCTCTTGGAGAGTGCGGGTGTCGAAATTTCCCACTCGTCTGTCATGTGCTCCCTACGGTTCTGCGCAGCCCGCCAGCTTTTCGCTGCTTCGGTTACCATCACTTCTGCCCTCTCTGTCCCCCCTTTCCCCTGCTCCACAAGAACAAGCCGATGATCCAAACGGAAAAAAGCCCCATTCCTGAGGCGACGCAAACAACCCAAAGAAGGTGAAAAGGAAAACAAAAAAGCACTCTTTACGAACGACCTGTATGTTTTAAAATAACCCTAATTGGATATAGTCACGAATTCTTTTCTACACCTTCCCTTGTGTTTTTTTCCCAAGGTACAGGTGCATGGTGAGGGAAAAAATAAAAATAAAAAAAATAAAAAAAAAAGGGTCTCACGAATGTTGGAGCTAAACAGAGGTAGAGGTATTAAAGAGGATGACAGGGGGGCCGACGTCTCTTGGGGACACAAAAATGGTAAGATAAAGCAAGAATCGAATTAAAAAAAAAAAAAGTAATAATAAACTGAGGATAAAGTAATAACCAAATAATAATGAAATAATAATAATAAAATGAAAAGGGGAAAAAATACAAACGTGAACAAATGATTAGGGAGAACGAACGAGGGCAGAAACCAACGGATGAGCAATCCCAGCTTTGTTCGTATGGTTAAGGGCAAAGTTAGGTAGATGCAGGAAAAACGCAATTGGAGGAAAGGGAAAGATTCAGAGGATTAGTTGCAGAGAAGAGAACAAATGGGAGTCGAGCATCCCTCCCCCAGAGAGTATGCCACAGCGGGCGAAGTAATTAGTGAATCACCTCTCAATGCTCATGCAAAGTGGAGGGAAGAAAAATAAAAAAAAGAAGGGTACGTTACAATACGAATACCAATACAGAGTTAAACAAAATGGGCAACAACAAACTGTAGAGAGTGGCACAAAAAAAAAAAAATTTCAGAGAAGGATTGGCGTAAATCCATTAGTGAGCTAAAGCTTGAAGGAACCAAAAGGGAAACGTATACAAAAAAGCAGAGTGCAGTTCATATGCATAGCAGAGCATACGTGGCTCATCATATGCCGCTAAGACGATGATTTACTTATGTACGAACCTGCGAATGTACGTGCCCTGGTTTATTTGAGTAGATCACTGCCAGATCAATGAAGAGTGTAAAGCTCGGGAAACTGTAATGATTCGGTCAGAAAAATAGACATATCACGCTGTGCATCAGTTCTACCTTTTGGTTTTACTGTGCGTTTTCAGATTTTGTTCCGTCTCTGTTTTTTCTGGCTTAGCTTCCTTTTCAGCGTCAGTTGTGCGCCCTACTTGACCCTTTTTTTGGTTACTTTTTCGTTAATTTTTTTTTTCTCTAATTCTAGCCCCCATTCGAAGGCGCCGCATGTGTAACACTGCATGTGTGGCGCTGCAGGTGTGGCTCCGCATCTGTTGCTCCGGATGTGTAACACTTCACTAGAAACTCCGCATGTGTAACGCTGCACTTGGGATTGCATGTGTGCGGTTCTTCACTGTCGCATCATTGGTTCTTCTTCCTTTTGTTCATCCATTTTCCTCCTGTCATTCATTTAACTATTTTTTTCATTCATTTGATTTTTTTTTATTTGTTTATTTTTTTTATAAATCCCATTTGTTCCTTTCATTGTATAAATACACATAGCGGAAAAACAAAATGGAAGAAAAAGGCCAATCAAAAAATAAGCGAGTAATGGAGTCTCCTTACGACTTTGAATTGTATTACTCTTTCATAGCTAAGTGAAAGAATTTTGTAATGCATATGTCTGTAACATATGCGTTTTGTTGGGCGCGTGTTTTGCGAAGGGACATTTTTTT